TTTATGATTAATAAGAAAAAATATTACATGAAATTGTACCTTTCTTTATTAGTCTAAAGTGCAGTCTAAAATCTTCTTATAGCAATGGCTTGAAAAAAATTTCCTTCGTAGGCAAATTGTTGAAAATGCTGAAACAAAAAGAATATTGTTTAGCCATGGTCTAATCATAAAATAAAAGTATAAAATAAATTAATAAAAAACAAAGTAGTTCACGAACGTATAAATATACACGATACTTGCAAAAATACTTGTCTCGAAAAACTTTTCTAGAAAAAGTTTCACGAAAATACAAAATGCATGTATTCATACTGTATCGTTATACTTAATGGCTCATTTTTTAAAATAATATGAATAAATGAGGTGTAGTTATGCAACCGACGTCGCTCTTTAGAATGATTAGTTGCCTATATAAAGAGAATGTTTTAGAAATATAAATAAAATGTGTAATTCATACAGAAAAAAAACCAATTTGATAAGGACGCTTCAAGAAAAATAATAATTGTTATTAATGTAAAAAGAAAAAGATTAAAACTATTATTTTATTTTAATTGATATTTTACTGTTTTGGAGTTGGCTATTTAAAATACACCAAACATGAATCAGAATGACATCAGAATAAGTGTCATAGATAAGTGTCAATAAACAATGGCGGCGGTTAAGTTTAGATGTCATGAATAGNAGATACATAAAAATATAACAATAACCTAATTAATATAATTGTATACAATAATGAAACGTGTAATACAAATTTACATTTTATTGTTTAAGTATTTAATTAATCATTTCATTAAAGAAATAAGAAGAAACGTTCTTATATTACGTTTTATATTTCTTGCAAATATTACCTGAATACATCTTGGTAATTCGTATTTACAACTGCAACCATAACTTAGCTACTCAGCAAATAGTTTATTGTCCCTCATTGCCTTCTTGTAATAAAACACTGCCAAGTCATAATGAATGGACTATACCATGATAATTCGAATTTAAAATATTTAGCTAAAAGCTCTAAAATTACTTGCGATTGCTGACCTTTCGTATAGGCAACCCACTGTACTCCAAAGAATTGTCATGTTTAGTGGCGCAGAATCAGCTTTAATTCCTTTATTAAAGACGACGTTTTCAAAAAGAGGATTCAAAATATGCACTACTAAGTTTTAGTACATCATTTTAGTCTGAACCCATCCGCGACTTCTTTCTTATACGTATTTTGATATCTTCAGTTCGTTTAAAAAGGCACAAATTAATTTATCAAGAAAAAATAAACTACATTTTTAAATTAAGGGTTGAAAGTAAACCCCGGTAATTTTCAACTGTAAAATATTTTTCACTGATGCCCCATAACAACTTTAATACATTTTAATTACATTGAGTTGGTTTAATAAGGGACAAATTAATTTATCAAAGAAAAACAAACAACATTTTTAAATTTGGGATTGAAAATGTACCCCGGTAGGTAATTTCCAACTATAAAATTCTTTAAATTGATGCCTCACTACAACTTAATACATTTTGGTACTTTCAGCACGTTTAATAATGCAAATATCAATTTTATAAAAAAATTATTAACAAGGTTCTTAAATAGGGGGTTGAACCTGAACCCCGATAATTTTCAACTATAAAATTCTTATCAGCAATGCCTTAGAACAACTTTAATACATTTTAATACTTTCAGCTCATTTCAATAAGGGAGAAATCAATTTATTAANACTCATCTTTAAAAACAAGGAAAATATTTTTTTTTGTAAACGTGGTCTAATTAATTTGTATTGTTAGTTAGTTTTTGAGCCTACACACACTACATCGAATTTCGTTTTTGTTGTTACAATAGTACAATATTAAAAGAAGAAACTTTTTTTTGTATATTTTATGCCGTAGAGATATCGTGTAGAAATAATAAATAATAGGCAAAAGCCTTAATGAAAAGTAGCAAGTTACTCTAAACGGCTTTGTCTTATAATATGTATAAATACTCTTGGTTTTTATTTGTTTTAAATATGGACATGCATTTGCTTTCCTTTTCTATTTACTATGAAAAAATCATCACTACTTAAAGTTTTGTAGCTAATCATTTTGAGATTGAAACGTAATTATAATAATATTGTAAGCATGCCGTTGTGAGAAGCTTGTTCAAGTAATAAACATGTCACATCGAAAAAAACTAAAATTTTGTACGAAATTTTCGCAAATGTTTTCGTCAGGTGGTTTACATCACTGTTGAATTGTGCTCAAGTTTTTATTATTATTAGCGCAAAAGATTGTCCATTTTGTACGCTTAGATGGTAGCCAACTTCTTTTCTTTTGCTATTTTCCTTTATATCTAATAACGAAAATTTTCATTCCCATTCGAAACTTACTCAAATTATTTCTTAAATACGTGACAAATATTTAATAATTACATTTAATCAGCCAAAGCTGAGTAATTTGTTCCCCTTACAGTTATTATAGGTCTCATTGTAATGTTTTAACAACGTCTACAATACGTAAATTTTTTATTCAATAATTTAAGATTGATTAACAGATTAATAATTCCTAGCATACTACTTTTGGGATAAATCAGTTCCAAAAAAGAATTGAGAGCTATAGCAACAAGGGTAGTTTACCACAGCTTATTTGATTTACTTATATATAAAATTTGATATATAACGTTTCATAGACTTATCGTTTTTTCTTAAGTTTTATTTTCAATTAACAAAAATAAAATATGTGCAAAAATTTCTACCTTTGACGACAGCCCTAACTCTAACATACACATACTCTAATATGCGTATTATCCAACATTCCAAACAGCTAATAATTCTTGTTCGTTTTTTATGCCACTACAAATGTAGCTTAACTTTCAACAAATTGCTCTCTATCTTTATTATGATAAATTCCCTCTCAATAAAATAAAATGTTATTGATGAGAATGCTCAATTACGAAGTGAAATGTGTATAAGAGATTAAAACTATTATTTTATTTTAATTGATATTTTACTGTTTTGGAGTTGGCTATTTAAAATACACCAAACATGAATCAGAATGACATCAGAATAAGTGTCATAGATAAGTGTCAATAAACAATGGCGGCGGTTAAGTTTAGATGTCATGAATAGCACAAAGGCTCTGTTCTTGTTAAGTTTTGTTTTTATTTGCAGCCGCGAATCAAAGCACATTATGTAGCAATTAATTTAAATTCGTCATGTGAAGAACTTTTGAGTGTCGCTCTTATGCACTCAATCGTCTTGACAGTAAGTCTCTATATATAAACTAATTTGTAACCTTGGCATTTGTTTATTTACATAATCGTTCTTGTAATTACGATAGGCAGATAGAGAAAGAAAGAAATTAAGCAATTGCGTTCGTCGCAAATTTAAATGTCTAAGATAAAAACACTTTTAGAAAACAACACATGCGTAATTTCTTTTGTTCCTAGGAAAACCATGGGCTGTGTGCACAGCAAAAGAGACATAAATGACATCCATTCGAACCGATTCGAAGTAACAAATGTAGACGAGATGGGCCACTTGGTTAGTCCTGGTCAGCTGGAATTGACTGAGACAGAATTAATATTATACCAAAGAGGAAAATCTGCGACCCACTGGCCTTTGCGCTCATTACGCAAATATGGTTTCGATTCGGAAATTTTCAGCTTTGAATGCGGGCGTCGATGTCCAACCGGTGCCGGAATATATGCATTCCGATGCCGTAAAGCAGAACAGTTATTCAATCTTCTTCAGCAAAACATTCAGCTGAGGAACATAAACGACGAAAACAACCCCCAACCTGTGAGTATGTATACAAACTCGGATTTTCCGACACCGGTTGCTACCACGGGTCCACCTGTTACCACACGACGAATGTCATCGGTACAACCCCAAGCTGAAGGGTACTTGAATCCCACACCAGCACCTGTAACAATACGGTCTCGACCAACGTTAAGCAGACCTGGTTCTATAACGAGCAATGGCCCTGTCAGTCCCGTTAGCCCTTCTGCTATTTCACCGCCGCCAAACGTAAATTGTGATAATTTTCTGGAACACAACAACAACAAACAACAGCACAACAATACTCTTGTCAGTGTTAGAGAGCGAAAGCATTCATATACCCAGCCTTCATATATAAACCTAAACACTACAACTCCACCGCCAGTTACCGAACATTATGCCAATCTGTGCGAGCAACCGTCGCATCTCTACGTAAATATAACTACCAATGAAGGCTCTTCGATCTCTTCCTGCACTGACAACATATGTAACATCCAAACCAAAGATTTAATACCAAATAATAGTTGCACAACAGCAACAGCAACCACAGACTCGACTGAAATATGTAATAGTAATAGTTTGTGTGTTCAGACTGTATCAGAGCCTCTTGATGAGCCTATGCACTGCTACGCGAACATTGACGCCGCCGAATTGGGAAATCTTCGAGCGTCGAATGTGATCACAGAAGCCATTCCTTCGTCAGGGAGCGCGCCCCAAACTCCCACATACGTTACAGTTCAAGAAGTGAATTATGCCGAACTGGACCTAGTGCCAAGCAGAAACGACGCTCCCTCGCCGGAAAGTCCGAACGATAAAGTTAGGAAAAGTTATGTTACCATTGATTTTAAGAAGACAACCGCTCTCTCGCAGTCAGTAAACCCCAGTATAGAAGTGGAGGAAGGGGTGCGTAAGACCAGGCACAATTCGAATATAAGCGATGTGACCACGAGACACAGTAATTCACTCAGTGACTGAGATGCTAACAATTTAATGGTAAGAAAAGAAATACTTCGTTTGATGTCTCATTGCATTTAATTTCATTACAAAAAAAGTTTTTTCTTTATATCAAATTTATAAAAAAGGCAGAAAATGAGAAGGGTCAACAAGGGATTTTTTAGGCCTAGTTAATGAATGAAGCCCTAATGATGAATTTTTCAAAATAAATATACTTTCACTTAAAAAGTTTCACGTTGAAGGGCTTACCCTCACTTTAAACTGATTATTATTCATATACTTTGCTAATATTATTTTAAAATTTCTTGTTTCAAAGGGTGGCCTGCGAATAGTAGTTGACGTTTTAACGGAGTGATTAATTAAATTTAAATTAAATTGTTAATTTTAATTTAATCAATTTTTCCTTTTATAAAAAACAATTTTCTGCTTGTGGAATTCCTCAAGCGCCGTTATCTACTATGTATATATTTACAGTTACATGTGTATAGAATTGTGTTTCTAATGATTTTTTGTTTTTAAGGAACATAAAATAGATTTGATTTTATTTATAAGAACATAGTGACTAAATACAATAATGTTTTGTTTTTAGGAGTGTAGATAAAACAACTGGGGCTAAATTTTTTTTCTGTTAGACCAAAAACCACACTGTTGACTCATCTCCTTTAAAAACAAGGAAAATATTTTTTTTTGTAAACGTGGTCTAATTAATTTGTATTGTTAGTTAGTTTTTGAGCCTACACACACTACATCGAATTTCGTTTTTGTTGTTACAATAGTACAATATTAAAAGAAGAAACTTTTTTTTGTATATTTTATGCCGTAGAGATATCGTGTAGAAATAATAAATAATAGGCAAAAGCCTTAATGAAAAGTAGCAAGTTACTCTAAACGGCTTTGTCTTATAATATGTATAAATACTCTTGGTTTTTATTTGTTTTAAATATGGACATGCATTTGCTTTCCTTTTCTATTTACTATGAAAAAATCATCACTACTTAAAGTTTTGTAGCTAATCATTTTGAGATTGAAACGTAATTATAATAATATTGTAAGCATGCCGTTGTGAGAAGCTTGTTCAAGTAATAAACATGTCACATCGAAAAAAACTAAAATTTTGTACGAAATTTTCGCAAATGTTTTCGTCAGGTGGTTTACATCACTGTTGAATTGTGCTCAAGTTTTTATTATTATTAGCGCAAAAGATTGTCCATTTTGTACGCTTAGATGGTAGCCAACTTCTTTTCTTTTGCTATTTTCCTTTATATCTAATAACGAAAATTTTCATTCCCATTCGAAACTTACTCAAATTATTTCTTAAATACGTGACAAATATTTAATAATTACATTTAATCAGCCAAAGCTGAGTAATTTGTTCCCCTTACAGTTATTATAGGTCTCATTGTAATGTTTTAACAACGTCTACAATACGTAAATTTTTTATTCAATAATTTAAGATTGATTAACAGATTAATAATTCCTAGCATACTACTTTTGGGATAAATCAGTTCCAAAAAAGAATTGAGAGCTATAGCAACAAGGGTAGTTTACCACAGCTTATTTGATTTACTTATATATAAAATTTGATATATAACGTTTCATAGACTTATCGTTTTTTCTTAAGTTTTATTTTCAATTAACAAAAATAAAATATGTGCAAAAATTTCTACCTTTGACGACAGCCCTAACTCTAACATACACATACTCTAATATGCGTATTATCCAACATTCCAAACAGCTAATAATTCTTGTTCGTTTTTTATGCCACTACAAATGTAGCTTAACTTTCAACAAATTGCTCTCTATCTTTATTATGATAAATTCCCTCTCAATAAAATAAAATGTTATTGATGAGAATGCTCAATTACGAAGTGAAATGTGTATTTGATACATTTAAAATACCAATAATATAATAATAACTGAAAAGGAAAATTGAATATTATATTTATATGCAATACGTATATTAAAGTTT